GTAAGATAAAAATGCTTAGAAATAAGAGGGTCGGAAACGGTTGGATCGAAAGAGAATAATGCTAAGTTTTACGTTTGAGTTTTCAATTCGTATCCAGCTGTCCTTCTTGAGCTCTATGTTGTTTAAGTAGATTAAGACCTAAGTAATTTTATTAGAATAGTTATATTATGGTTTCTATGCTTTATAAATAGTAACCGTTTATGCATTCGTTAGGCACGCGGACAAATCAAACTTGATCGTGAATTTCCGTTTGATCGTGCGTTAATTGTCAAATTCGGTTAAGGTACGGATTCCATATCTCACTTGACACGGGGATAGCCATTTGCGTAAGGCTTCCTAATCCAGATAATCTGTGATAAATTCCGAATAATTTGTTTTGAATTTCCTTTATGCTTATCAAATGTTATTGAACTTTGTTTCCTTTTGAATTACGACTAATATTCTTATTCGGAATATGGATCATTTTGATCAATTGAATTGTTTTATTGTTTCATTTGTGGAATATTTTACTATAGACTCAATAATTGGAGCACCGGTATTGAGATGTTTCCATGGTGACTAAAACGATCATGTCGTCCTTATTTTTATAGTCTTTAAAAGTGGACTTGATTATGTACCGGTCGAATAGAGGGCGTATGGATCGATCCTAGGAACCGTTATCGGATATTGAATTATGGTTGTGGTTATATCCACGGAGAGGATTGCTGTGTTGTGCTCACACCCCTTTCCTCACTTGTGCCTGAATGGACTGATCATCCTTTGGGAACAACGCGTCCTCGTGATGCAGTTTGGTCTTCGGACCCTTGACATGCTTTTGGGGCATTTTGACTTTCTTTTGGATTATCACTTGGCTTTATAAATTGTTTTTGAACTTGTTATCTCATATTCATTGTTTATTTATATTATTATCCGTTCACTGAGCATTAAGCTCAGCCGAGATTTTCTTGTCCTCGGCAGGTACATGACTTAGCAGAGATTTTGGGATGAGAGCTACGGAGATGACTATATTGAAGATAACCCATTAAGTCGTACTTTTGTTAAACTTTTGATGACTAACGTAGACATGTTGATATTTTGGGACCGTATTTTGAGACACGTTATATCCGTTTGTGGTTATGTAATTATCTTTTGGTAAATTTATTATCCGCTCTGTTTTATA